ATAAAATTAAATGCTAAAGAACCCTGCATTATAAATCTCTGTTTTTTCCGATCATTTGAACGTATATATATGTATGTATGTATGTGTGTGAGTGTGTGTGTTTGTGTGTGTTTGTGTGTGTGTGTGTGATTTTAAAAAAATAATGTAAAGAATGAAGGTTGAATGAAGAGAAAGAAAAAGTACAAGAATGAAACAAAAACTGTCTAATGTTGATAAAGAATAAAAGAATATGGAGAATATAAATTGAAAAGAATATAAGAATGTAAAAATATAGGGAATAAAGAATTGAATAATATCTGGGATTATTAGAAGAATGAAAGAATATATAGAATAAAGAATAAAAGAATATGAATACGTTAAAAACAAACAGAAATTAAGGAATAACAAAGGAAAAAGCTGAACGACAGGAAGAATATAAAAACTAAACGAATAAAAGAATAAATAGAACAATGAATATCAGAATAAGATAAAAGAACTTTGATTCAGGTGTGTCAGTGCAAAATTAGCGTCGGGTTAAGGGAATTAATTGGCAAATAAAAGAAATATTGAAGAAGGAGGCTTGAGAAGAAAAAAAAAACGAACGTATCGTTTGAAAAGGAAACCGGCGGGAGGAAAAATCGAAGAAAGTATTGGAAAAACATACAAATACATTTGTGTTTGACGTAAAAAAAAAAAATCTATCATGCTGATGTTGTTACATGCCTTACTTCTTACCTATCTCACACTGCAAATTTTTTCTAAGCTCTATACTAAACATTAAATCTATTACGGAAAAAAAGAACTAAACAAAATGAACACAAAAAGATCAGCTTTAAAAAAGGACTCGTAACTGGAAAAACCGAATGAAAAAAGAATGTTAACAACAAATACTTTTTCACACCCAACCCAGTTCTGCGGAATCAGAATCAACGTTGAGTTTAAGCAAGCGAACGAGCCAATTGGAGTAAAGTGCCATGCAGATTTAAATTTTTTTCACTTGTGACGAATGCAGCTATCGATTATATTTTTTTTTGCATGCTAGCATACTTGTTAACATTTGTGTCAGTCAGCTGTTGGCTCTCACGCTGGCGAATAGAATCTTCCTGCCTATTCGTGGCAGCCAGCTATAGGCTGCTCTCACTCTGGCCAGTACAAAATTGACGCAAACTACATGAAAACTGCCATAGAAGCATGAAAAAATCGATTATTTCCACTATCGATGGGAGTTGGGAAATGTAACGTCGGTCTTGACCTTTCCACTAACTTGGAGCATGTGCATGTAAATTTTGGTGCAAATCCGTTGAAAATTGCGGCCGTGCATTCGTTACACACACACACACACACACACACACATCCTGCCTTTTATAGATAGAGATAATGTACAACAATATATAATTTCTATTTTTGACCTTTATCTTTCATCATAGATGCGTTAAACATAGATAATAATTACTGATTAACAGGTGTCTTTGGAACAAAGAATTTCATTTCATAAGTGTAATATTATGCAACTTTCTTGAATTAATGTTTTTCAAAATGAATGGCTATTTTATTGCATGAGGAAACATACTGAGAAAAAAGAGATTTTAAAGAATTTGGCATTCACGTGACATGTCAAAGGGAAACATCTTGTAACCTACCTAAAGAGCTGGGCTCAATAGATGGCAGAACAGGAAGTGGGAGATGTAGTGAAAGAGTAAATGTTACTAAGAGCAACAGAGACCGTCCTGGGTAAGACGATAAACTACATCCGACAGCAAAGCTTCTAATCAGGTGGTTTTGAGGAGCGTGGAACCACCTCTTAATTGCTGGTGTTCCCAGGTCCATCCCAATCCGAGGTGGTAGCACCTGTTAATTTCCCGGCTATAGGCAAACAGTTAACGCTCAAACTGGGGTCAAAACCCTACGAAAATATAAAAATAGGTTTTAATACCAGCAATACATTTTTGTAAAAGATTATTACCAGCAATAAATTTTTGAAGAAAACATGATTACCAGCAATAGATTTTTGAAAAAAAAATTACCAGCAATACATTTTTTAAAAAACAAAAATTAGTAGCAATACCTTTTTGAAAATAAAAAAAAATATTACCAGCAATAAAAATCTTGTCGGCATTATATAACCCATTGTGGTTGATAAAACAAACCAAACCAAGCAAGAGAGGATAGGAATTTGTCGGGAGAGATAATCGATCACGTCGTGAAGAGACACGGCACCAGATATTTTACTGTCACGTCTGGTTTGGTGCTTCTGTTATGTATTTACAGATTCTTGATAAAATACAACGAAGAAGCTGCAATCTTATTGGTCCTGGCCTGGCGCCTACGGCATCAGTCACTTTCCCACTGCCGTAACATTTTTTATAAATACTTTCTCGATAATTGTTCTGATCAGCGTTCCTCTTTGGTTCATCGACTTTATAAATTTAAGCATACTAGATTGGCAGCTAGGCCTTATCATTTTTTTTTCAGTTGAAACGACAAGATGTAACTGTAAGTTCCATTTTAATAGTTTCTTCTCTGGGTCGTCTCGCTTGTCAAACTCTCTTCTGGTTTCGTGTTTTTCGCTCAACTATGAACTTCAAATGTTTAAATCTTAACTTCAATCACCATCTTCTGTCTCATTAAATCCTATTTATTTTCTTTCTCTCCACAATAATGTTTTCTTAGTATTTTTCTCATTTTCAGTAACTCCTTGCGTCTTAGTGGCTTTGTTACCTTCCTTAGAGTGAAATGATACAAAAATATGACTTATTTTATAAATTATTTTATTCTAACTTAAAAGCCGCCCGATCGAGCGGTATTTAATCTAGCTCCTGCAGAGGTCTCTTGAGTGAGTCTTCATCCCAAGAGGTAGGGAGGAGTAGATGCAATAGACAACAATAAACTACAGAAGAACTAAAAATTGATCGTTGCATTTAAATATTGCATTAATATTCAAGTTTAGCTTTTTCAAGTTCAACGATAATTCTTCTGCCGCCATTTAATTTAAAGACAATTTGATGTACTCAGGTCCTTGCTTTCCGTACAAACAATTATTTTGTTTCATGGGTGGCTTTCGCTGAATTTCAAAATTAATTTCGATTATTGCCAAATTTATTTACAAGTTCTTAAAATTGTTGTCGTAAAAAAAAATTTCTTGCAAAAATAAACTAAAAATATTTCCGAAAACAATCGCAATAATGAAAACTTGGGAATCCAAAATTTCTGTAACATGAGTTATTGAAAGTTAGAGAGTTGTGTCCCTTAATTGTTTATATATATATATATATATATATATATATATATATATATAATATAATAATAATGAAAGGTTGGGAATCCAAAATTTCAGGATTGTCGCTCCTGATCCGGCCCGGAAGGTTTTTAATTTGCTCACGGAGTCTGCCTGATTCCAAAATGGTATGATATTTTGGGCTACAGAATTAGGAACAGAAATATTAATAATGAACGGGAAGTAAAAAGAGTAATCAAGAAAACAATAGATAGCGATCGACATTGCATTTGATTTTTTAAAGATTAAAAAGCATGGTATCGGAAGGGCGTCACACAAGCAAGAAGTGCGATAAAAACACTGTTAGCATAGAATTTACGGCTACATCTAGCCAATTCAACTGTAGATTGATGAGATGTCGACGTCAGTCTAATGCCGCGCTTAATTTTTTTTAAATGTATAGCTACCATAGTGTTCACCCGAACAATTACCTTGAAAGTAATTATAGAAATGGCAGAGAGAAGCAACCTTACAGTGGTAGGGAAGTGACTGAAGCTGAAAATATTGCTGATTCTTCTTTGAATTTTATCAATGATTAATAAAAAGCGAAGAGTGGAACTAAACAGGGAGAACCAAACAGGTCACTGACAACCTTCATGGACCTGCCTGAGAGAAAGAACATGATTATTGCGTAAACCAGACCCAGAGATGCCATTGCTTGAAATTTTGTCTAGTAAGCACACATCGATTTGAATAAAAATAATCCCTCCCAACGCCGATAATGTTTACTTCTACAGGGAATAGAGTATCTATAAGATAACATTTTTTGATACACTGGAATCCACTGACGACAATGCCTCTTTATATAAATGAGCTGAAAATCGCCGACAATATCAGAGACATTTCAACACTTGGTGAAAATTCAAGTCCTAAAAATTATATCAAGAAATTGTTTCCGGTATTTGTCAAAGCCAATAAACAACTTGCTCAACCTTTCATCATCACGAAACAAACGGAGAGTTTTTGTTTGTTTTTTGTTTTTGTTTTTTTGTTTTTTTCCTTTCGTGATGAACGGGTTGTAATCTAAATGAACCTCCTTACTTAGAACATCTGTCAAGCTAACACCGGAACTCAAGCTTAACGATATATATATACGATCCATCAATGAAGACGCTGGAAAAATTGTTGGCTCCCAGTACAGCTTTAAAAAGTACTCCTCCTGTCCTGCAATATCTATCTCTACAAGACCCAGATCAGACCGAATATGGAGAATTGCTGTCACATCTAGGCCGGAACTGCCCCATGCTCACTTTACAACCTTAACAAAAGAGTTTACACGGCCTTGTGGATGATGAATTGTTTTCTAACTTTCAACCCATTTCTCTACTCTAGCGCTATTTTCATGGAAGATGTCCAGGTAAACTATATCATTTCAAGTTGAATTTGTGACTAATCAAAGTCATTTTGGGACTAAGTAAGTTCATAATGAAATAACCAAGTTCAAAATGAAATAGTCAAATTCAAAATGAAATAGACAAATTTAAATTGGGACATATCAAATTCAAAATAGAATAGTCAAATTCAAAATGAGACTCAGCAGATTCAAAATAAAATAGTCAAATTCAAAATGGAATAAACAAGTTTGATTTGGGACTTAGCAAGTTCAAAATGGATTAGGCAAATTCAATTTGGGACTGAGCAATTCTTTTGCCAAAAAAAGACTTGAAAATTAAATATTTTTATGATAAACTAATAATGTTCAACTAAACTTTACTATTGGAATGTTTTATCTTCGGTCAAAAAAAAATTACTGGCTCAAAAAAAAATAGGAAAAGAAAGATGGGAAAGAAGGGGATGCCAGAAAGTTTCCTTCAGAAAGAAAGAAAGAAAGAAAGAAAGAACGAAAGAATCTAAGAAAAGAAAAAGAAAAAGAAAATTGGATACAGGGACAGAAAAAAAGGTCGAAGGAATGACAAAGAAGGAATGAAAAGAATGAATAAATGTAGGAAAGAAAAAAAAGAAAGAAAGAAAGAAAGAAAAAAGAAAAGAATGAAAGAAAGAATGCGGTTAGAAAAGAAAAGAATAAAATAAAGAAAGTCTGGAAAGAAAGAAAGAAAAAGAAAGAATTCCAAGAAAAATAGGTGTCTGCGAAAAAAAATGTGAAAAGAAAGAAAGAAAGAAAAGAAAGAAACTGAAAGAAACTGAATCAAAGAAAAGAAAAGAAAGAAAAGTAAAGAAAGAAAGAAAGAAAGAAAAGAAATAAGAACAGGTGACAGAAAAAGAGGGAAGGAAAGAAAGAAAGAAGTGAAATATAAAAAAAGAAAGAAAGAAATAGAAAGAAAGAAAAGAAAGAAAGTATGAACTGAAAGAATGGAATCCTCTAAAAATAAAAAAAGAAAAAAAAGAAAGAAAGAAAGTTCAAGAAAGAACTAAAGAAAAGTCATTTGCCACAAAAATAGGTTCATGAAAAAATAAGGAAAAAGAAAAAATGAAAAGAGTTAAATTAAAAAGAAAGAAATAAAAGAATTCAAAAAGAAATAAAGAAATTCAAAATGGAATAAGCAAATTTAATTCTGAAAAAAATAGTTCAAAAGAAAAAAGAAACAAATTCAATTTGGGAAAGAAAAATTTAAAGAAAGAAAGAAAGAAAGAAAGAAGAATAAGTGGCAAGAAAAAAAAGGTGATCATGAAAAAAATAGTGAAAAGAAAGAAAGAAAAGAAAGCAGAAAAAAAGAATAATAAAAGAAAGAAAAGAATTAAGAACAGGTGACAAAAAGAACGAAGGAAAAAAGAAAGAAAGGAAACGAAATAATGAATATTTCTGGAAAGAAAGAAAAAAGAAAGAAAGAAAGAAAGAGGCGAAACGAAAGAATGAATAATGGAAAAAAAATTGAAACGAAAAAAAGAAAGAAAAGAAAGAAAGAAAGAATAATTGTTCAAGAAAAATAGGTGTCATGAAAAATCTAGGTGAAAAAGAAAGAAAGAAAGAAAAGAAAATAAACAAAGAAAGAAAAAATCAAAAAAGAAATCTTCTAAAAAAAACGTTTATAGTAATAAAAAAATATAGATTTTAAAAAATTAAATAAAAAAGAAAAGAAAGAAAGAATTCAGAAAAGAAAGAAAGAATCTTAAAGAAAAAGAGTTAAAGAAAAAATTTTCAAAGAAAGAAAAGAAATAAGCAGGCCTTAAAAAAGTTAATAAAAGAAATAAAGAAGGAAATAAAAGAATGAATAGGTATTTTAAGGAAAGAAAGAAAGAAACAAAAAGAAAAAAAAGAAAAAAAAAGAAACTTTTCAAGAAAGAAAAAAGAAAGAAAAAGAAAAAAACAAGAAAGAAAAGAAATTCTTTCATTTTGACAGAAAAGAACGAAGGAAAGAAAGAAAAAAATACAAATTTTAATGAATTCTGGTAAGAAAAAAAGAAAGAAAGAAAGAAAGAAAGAAATAAATAGAAATGAAACGAAAGTCGAATTTAAGTAAGAAAGAAAGAAAAAAGAAAGAAAAAAGAAAAAAGAAAAGAAGAAGGTGACAAGAAAAAAAAGGTGTCGAAAAAATAGTGAAAAAGAAAAAAGAAAGAATGAAAGCAGAAAGAAAGAAAGAAAGAAAGCAGAAAGAAAGAAAGAAAGAAAGAAGAATAAGTGGCAAGAAAAAATAGGTGTCATGAAAAAAATAGTGAAAAGAAAGAAAGAAAGAAAGCAAAAAGAAAGAAAGAAAGAAAGAAAGAAAGAAAGAAAGAAAGAAAGAAAGAAAGAAAAGAAATAAGAACAGGTGACAGAAAAAAGAACGAAGGAAAGAAAGAAAGAAAGAAGTGAAACGAAAGAATGAATAGGTGGTAAGAAAGAAAGAAAGAAAGAAAGAAAGAAAGAAAGAAAGAAGTGAAACGAAAGAATGAATCGGTGGTAAGAAAGAAAGAAAGAAAGAAAGAAAGAAAGAAAGAAAGAAAGAAGAATAAGTGCCAAGAAAAATAAAGTAATGAAAAATAGTGAAAAGAAAGAAAGAAAGAAGAAAAAGAAAGAAAGAAAGAAAGAAAAGAAAGAAAGAAAAAGAAATAAGAACAATGAAAACAGAAAAAAAAAGAACGAAGGAAAGAAAGAAAGAAAAGAAACGAAAAGAAAGAAAATAGGTGGTATGAAAGAAAGAAAGCAAAAGATAAAAGAAAAAGAAAAAAAAAGAAAGAAAGAAAGAAGTGAAACGAAAGAATGAATAGGTGGTAAGAAAGAAAGAAAGAAAGAAAGAAAGAAAGAAAGAAAGAATAAGTGGCAAGAAAAAAAGGTGTCAAGAAAAAAAAAAAGAAAAAGAAAGAAAAAA